ATGAAGAGAAAGATGCATTTAGCGGCGGCGCCACCTCCACTCGCATCTGGAGAGGCGACCACCCCAAGCGATGGAGCGTAGCGGCTCAGGCGACTGAAGCATCGACTGCATAGGTTTCCGTTGCGGCAGCTAAGATAATATTTCATTCCAATCTGGTTTTAGGTCTGGACACAATATCATTAATATACCGGTATTGTTGTAAATCCGAGTAAGTGTCAAATAATAATTACAGGGTGCTCAAATGCCTTAGTAGGGTTGGCGCACAAAGGCGATAAGGTTGACACCTTATTGTCTTTTTGCGTACTGCATACAGAGTTGAATTAATAAAAAAAATCGCTTACTTATGATTTATATAAGTGTAAAAGTTAGATAAGAAAAACATCGAAATTAAATCTACGACAAAGGTGATGCTACGGATGAAAAAAGTACTGTTATTATTATTTAATTACAATAACAGCATTATGTATACATACAAAATCATCGATAAATTAGGTAGGTGTGTACATTTTATTTATTAGTTTTAAATTTTCTATGCTTCGACTCTGCAAATAACTCGGTCCGGTCCGGTTTTGCAACCGGTGACAAACTATAATTATGTCCTGTCTCGTATTCTATTTTTGTATTAGTTAAAAACATATTTTGTTCTGCTAACATTTAAAAAGATCGACTGCCTTCTTATTCTAATTAAAAAATGCTCAATCATACCAAGCGTAGGTTCTTTAGGGCCTGAGTGAATAGATTGGTTATGCCTATTGTATCGTAGGCATCTTTGTTTACCACCAGGCATGATAATGGTCCATTCCAAATAATATTTTTTTTAGGATAGATAGGCCAACGAGCTCACGATTTTTTTGCCCTGTATTTTGGGTGCGTTTACAAACATAGGATTTCACATACACATCACACCCAGATCTGCAAAATTAATTAGTGGATCACACAAATATTGTAGCGTGCAGGAATCGAACCAGCGGCACCCAGTTGCCCAGCCACCGCGCCAACTGTGCAGTAAAAAGAAAGTAAATTACCTGTCGGTATGCAATTGGCACTGCCCATGGACATTCGTAATACCGAAAGGAGTTACTACAGGTACCTACTACTAGTGCGTTGCAGGTCTCTTGTGGATTATTAGGTATTTAAGGATAGAGGATTTGAGGATTGTGGGTAGGGTTGCCACCCGTACTTTATAATAAAGTATTGTACTCTATACTTTATGAGAACAATAAAGTACACGAAAATACTTTATTTTGTATGATTTGATTTTTTTGGGATTATGAAAAGTGATGAACAGCGAGATGACGAGATGAAAGAAACAAAGCGTCTCAGAATTTAATAAAGAGTGTAAAGATGTTTTAGTAGAGATACTTATTTAATGCGAACTGCAAAAAGCAATAAAAAAATATGTTTTGAAATATAAAAATAGAGAAAAATAAATTGTACTTTATCTTGATCCCATGTACTTTTTTTTTCTTACCTATAATAACCAATGTACTTTATTAACTGCAAAAAAAGGTGGCAACCCTAATTGTGGGTGGAAGTATGCCGAAACGTCATGAAAATAAATAAAACCGTTTAAAAAAGGTCTTTCCGTCCAAATATAATTTAGGTGTCTTCAAGGCTAAAGTAAGGCTCTTAATAAACTAGTGCGCCATACCACCAACGATTGCATCACTGCTTACCATCAGGTGGGATCGCAGTCAAGCACTGGTCTATTGCAAGTAAAAAAAAAGAAAAGGTAAGTGCGCGTTAAATCCCGGTAACAATAAAGTATTAATATGTAACGCGAAAGTTTAAAGTAAATTACATGTTTACTTTTATTAATAATAATAAAAGTCTGGGTGAGCCGTACTTTCTTCAAGTTGACCGGAGTGCTACCACGGTCTTACAGAAAACCCAGGACCCCTTGCTATTGGCTTCGCCGTGTGAGTGAGGTTAATTGGAGGCTTGTTAAATATTGCAATTTTATATGAATATCTACAGATTTAGCAAGCTACGTCTGGGCACAAATTTGTTTTCCATGTAGAAACTACATGTTAAGTGCATTAAAATCTACAAGAATACAACCTTATTTTATATTTACACTTGTCAACGGCTCTACTGCGTCAGCCCACCAACATGCTGGATGAGCCGACCTGCTCCAACCTTTTTCCGATCAATCAATTTTTTTTTTCAGACTTGAGCATCCCATCACTGTTCTGTCGACTGCATATACTGTGTCATGCTTGGGCCACACTAACGGGAAATGCCAAATGGAGTAAGGTATATTTTTCATAGTTTAATATCATTAATTATCGCGATAATTATTGGCATTTCCCGATAATGTGGCCCAAGCATTACGGGCACGCATCAATTCCGCAGTAGGCGACATTGCGGGCGTCAGGGATCGAGAAATGATCTCCGGCCATCGTAAGCGCGGGTCAGTGAAGTTCAGCCGGGGTTGCGGGGTAAGCGCAATGAGGCATCGCAACCTCGGCCCAGAGCAGGAGAAGGAACAGGACGTTTTTGGTCTGTACTTAGGTACAGAGAGAGTCTGACACTCCCGCCCCACCCTGGGCGGGAGAAGCCATTTGACGATTTTCTCCTTACAAAAAAAAACCATCAATTCTTGGCTTATGGATGTGTACAGTGTAAGTGTAGGGCGGCTGTAGACGAAAGGGAAGAGGTTGTCACGATCAATGAACGAGGGCTGATTGGGTAACGCACTTATGCAGTCTAGTATTACAAGTTCATGGGCGGCGCCGATATCTTTCACATGCCTACTTAAGTAAGAAAACTAGCGGAAACTATGTAAGGATTGGAGTAGAATTTTTGATGAAATAAAACTCACACATACATTAGACACAGCCTTTTAATAACACATTGGTCTAGTTATTTGAACAAACAGCTATAATTATCAACAGGCATAATTAACTTATAAGTAATTAAGATATTATAAACTAAGGACTGATTTTTCAATAGTCAGATAAATGTTATCTGAGGAATAAAATTGTTGCTGTCACTGTCTTATACAAACATTCTGACGCGATAGCATCATAATTATTATCCAGGTAACTTTTATCTAACCATTGAAAACTCAGCCCTTAATATTTTAGTAGTAGGATCTGTTAACATGACATTCCATGTCAGAGGATAATACACTTTAACAACAAAGCATTTGGTACAATGTTGTTTGTGTTGTGTTGTCATATCACTAAAAACTTGTAACCATATAAATTGTATAGATAAATGCTAATAATAAAAGAAACAACATATATTTATATATATATTAGATGTATAATGGAATATTTTGTTAACCTATAAAATAACTAGCTTTTGCCCGCGACTCTGTGTACTCGTGGAATGGTTCCTGAATTGCTTCAAAGAGATTTTCGGTATAAAAACTGTCTGAACCAAATTTCACAGAAATCGGTTCAGTAGTTTAGGCGTGAAGAAAAGCCAAGCAGACAGACAGACAGAGTTACTTTCGAATTTATAATAGGTATTATAGTTTAGATTTTCACATCTTGCTATTGCATTGCTTGCTAATTTACAGAAATTACTTATTGTCAACTCAAAAATAATTATTGATCACGACATGTCTGATGTGGAGTTAAGGGCGTTAAGGGTCATGGTTTTAACTTGTAACCTAACTTATTTAAGTAGGGGTTCCCCAAAAGTAGGTTCTAACTTCTAACCATTAGACTCTCATTAATTACCTCGCTAAGACGATTTGGTGATCATTTACTAGGTACTTCTGATATTCGAATACAATTCGAAATACAAAAATTAAGGGTCTTGCCATTTTATGGTGGACTTTATATTTAACCCCATTTCAAATGTTAATGCGGCCCATAGGTTCATGCGACCACTTCTCGTAGGTGGGTACACGAGGATGGGGATTCAAAATCTGGCAAGTAACAACGTAACTTCTTCCGAGTTATATTTATATAATACTTTCTAAATTTATTTTTGACACTACTGTGAAATGGTAAATAAAAATTGAACTTATCACTTCTGTTTTAAGTTTAAAATCGCCTATCCATCTTGAGCAAGCGTAGTGATTAATGTTAAAACCGTGTCGTTTATGGTATAGAATTGTTCAGGTCGCGTCCACTTTTGCCATGGATGCATCACTTGCTCGAGCGACAATCACGCATCGCGCAATGAGACGATTCCGTACCTAGATTTCTATTCTCTCGTTCGAGAAGCGTTTTATTAGTAAATTGCTTTACGAATTTGTCTAGGCGCCTGTTGTATTATGATTAGGCACTCTCCAGCAAAAAAAAAGTAATTGGAATGACATACTATAGATGTTTTTAAAAACAATATTCGGGATATTCTTTAAGAGTCAGTTCACACCAAGACGCGACGCTACGCGAACCCTTCAAAAGATCGATTCAAAAAATAACTTTATATTGCTCACGACAAGGTATAAATTTCATGCGGTTCACTTATCGTATACCTACCTATACATATCGTCTGAGCACTTTGCGTTACGTCTCGGTACGAGTTGACTATTGAAAATTAACATTAACAAAAATCTAATAAGCATATAATACAGATACTTATACTTATATCTACTTAAGCTTTTACAATAAATTATTATGGATTATAACCAAAAACTGATAAACTTAAGTTAATAAGTAACAAAAAAAAAATAGGTAATGGAATCAATTATTTACTACATAATGTATCTATTCTTATTTATCTAGAAACTGGAAACTTTCAGTAAGTCAAATTAATTCTTAATTAGTCAAAAAGACTAAGGACCTATCTGTATAGCCGCTATGTGTCAGATAAATTTGAATACAGAAAGTAATTTGCAGTTATATTCTTTCAGCCTAATTTTCAATTACATTGTTTTTAGCATGCCAGGTGGCGTTAGTATATAATGAAATCCCTCGTCACAAAAATCGTTTCACAATAACTACTAATTAAGTACCTACTTTGCATTGTAGTCTTAATTACAATTTTACAATCTAATAAAAAAGGTTTTATTAAATTTCAAAAGTACAACATAGAGACATTAAGTACTGAAAGTTTCCAGCCAGTTTATAAATAACTTATTTATTTAATAATTATAATAATATATCTTACAATATATTTTGTAGGTAATAAATGTAATTAAGTACGTGACATGTATTCAGATAATACTTTTTTTGATTTGTCAGCGACTTTTATTTTTTATGATTTTTTCCTTAAAAACTAGATAGGTAAATATTAATACTCTTTATATACATTAATCAATGAATAATGGTGTTATATTTTTTTTAGTTCCGCATTTTTTCTAGCACTGCAAAGTTAAACTTATTTTTTACTGCAATATAATAAAATTCTTACGTTTATTTACATTGGTAACTGTGTCACATAGGTAAGGACTTATAATTAAAATATAAGTACGTTTTGTTTAATTTAAATAAGTTAATAAATGCCTACTTAAAAACTTGTAAATTCTCTACGAATTAGTCTAGTATATTAGGTAACACATGTATAAGTTTTTACCCTGATATACCTCTAAGGTGAGTCCTGAGAAGGAGCTTCGCTCGACAACCCTGGAGATTGCTTTATTGACAATATAAACGAGAAAATATAACCTCGTTTTACTTGCATTTCCCTAAGAACATATTATTATTGTTGTTGCGCCAACAAAACGCACCAACTGACTCAACATTAAGATATTATATTTATACTGCGTCACAGTTTTTATCTTTGATTAAATTGTGCGTGTAACTTCATTCAAATTTCCTGTCGCTTAAAATATAATGAAGGCACTATCAAAATGTTTTACTTATAAAGTTGAAAATAAAAATTGTACCATTTTACTTTGTTTTAGACATTTTATGATCTTATGGCACTGTTTTAGCTAATTATTATTTATGTAGTCACAACCTTTAGTTATTATGAACACCAATAAATATTTTGAATGCTGAAAGAAAAATTAAAAAGTTATTTATTGTACCCACGCCTAGTCATGCGGCATTATTCGATGTATCGCTACTGTTGGAGGGAGATGCAGTAGTATCTAACTCATTAGAGTCGTTTGCAGTCATGCCTTCTCCATATTTCTTCATAAACTCTAAGACTACACCATTGGTCCATCCAAAACCATATTGCACGTTGTATTCACCACCTCCTCCAAACTTGCCAGGATTCTCTGCATCATATTTCTCGAACATCTGGTGGTATTCTGAGAAGCCCGAATGACAAGCCCTAACGAATGTTTGCGCAGTTTCAAAAGCCAGCACACTCGCCTCTGGTGTTCCAATGTTTTCAATGGCGTTCACTGCGATGCTCATTTCTGGTGGCCACACGTTAGGGAAGTCCCACTGCTCTCCACTCCTACTGAGGGATGTAGGCACCCCTCCAGGGAAGTCAAAAGCACCAGATTGTTTAAGATTATTCAGAATTCTGAGTGCATTCGCTTTCACTATATTCGGATCGACAGCACCTTGCCACAAAGGAGCCAGGTTAGATGGGTAGAAGTATTTGCGATGTATCTGATCTCTGATGTCATAATCAAACCACATTCCCTCTTCCTCATTCCACAGAATTGACTGAATGCTATCTCTCCACTGTTGAGCTGATTGGCTAAATGAGACAGCAGCCCGGTGATTCCCCAAAATAACATGGAAGTTTGCGATATTCTGAAGAGCACCAGCAAATATGGCGTTTAAATCGACAGGTATGATGTATCTGGTGTGAATGTCTTTTAAAGTTCCTGTGTTGCTGCCATCAGGGTTGACGAACCAGCGCGTTGAGAAGTCCCAACCACTCTCAGCTGCGCTCTTAATATCGATAAAGAAGTCTGTGCGAGCTTGTTCACTAAATTCTGCCGCGTTTTCGTAGTCTTCATAATAAGATTCAGGTCTTGGTCCTGAGCTGATAGCAAAATATCTAAGCAGAGTGTGGTTACTACCTTCTTTTTCAACAGTCACTGATCTTTCATCAAACCAGAAGTCCATTTCCTTTTCTAAATATGCAATGTTGTTTCTCAAGAACTCCGTGTCATTGGTGTATTGGTAGTAAGTAGCAACCATAGCTGTCAACATTGGTGGCTGACTGCGCTCTTGATAATACCACCTGCTTCCATTGGGAATGTGACCAAACATATTTAATAGTTCAATGAGATTTTCAATAATTCCTTTCGCAGTTTCTTGCATTCCACTTATCAGCAGACCTTCGATAATCCAGTAAGTATCCCAGTAATAAATCTCCGTGAACCTTCCTCCAGGGATTATGAATCCATTAGTGATAGGGATCAAACTATAACGATCAGGATTTTGAATAACCTCATCTTTGACTTTTCGGGCAAGAAGTGGCCAGATGTTGGTGATGTTTCTGGCGAATTCTCTTAAATCATCGTCTTGTATAGTATTTAATGAGTAAGGATCAGTATTAAAATCTGGTGGTCTCCATGGCATGAGTTCGCTATTATTAGAGAAGTGTTTTTCAACAAATTCTCTTAATTGTTCTACTGATGGTTCCTGGTCCGTATCGTTAAGTAAAGTATCAAAAGCATTTAATGTTGTGTTTTGATCGTAATTCATTTGAAGATCGACGAAGGTTTTAGAATCACTGTAGAGCCTGGCCATTTGAACTTTATGGAGTAGTTTGCTATTACAGTAGACAGGCTTGCTACAAGTGGGTCGCATGTCGGCAGCACCGGCCAGCGCAACGGCCGCCGCCAAGACAATCAGGTATCCCCGCATCTGAAACGATTAACAAAATATTTTAAATTTCTATGAAAATGCACAGTTCAGATTTGCTTTCAGAAATGCTATTCAGTACTACACACATATTTGGAGTGATTTCAACGGCGGTGAGGCAATTATGAATACTAATTTCTATATTTAGTAAAACAATTTCTTTGTCATTCTTGTTGAGGAACGTCCTTGTTTTTTAATGTGTTGTGTTTAAAAAAAGACCGGTATCTGGTTCGAGGTTTTACAATAATACATATTTGTAGATAAATAGTATACCTGCAGATATTTTTACATAGACATGTATGTGTACATAAGAAAACCGTTTGCACAGTTGTCTCACCGTGACGACTTCATGATTACAAAATTATCCAAACGATTAATTCTGTTAACGACTTAAAAAGATCAGCATGGCTTGGCCTCCGCAATAAGTCATTTTTTTTTTGTTTACGAGTGGAAACCTTCGGAAGTGTGGGATGTCTACCTCACTAAAACCTCCCCGCCATCAACACTTATAAGGGACACCGGGACCTCTTAAAAGATCACTACCTACTGAACATTTAAAAACAGATATCGGGCGTGACAAGGACCGAGTTATATCCGTCCTTTTTCCATCCTTGATCCAGGCCATAAGACTGGAATAACACAAGTTAAATACTTCATAAATATAGCGCACTAAGGTATTGCGTCCTCCGCCCGGAGCAGGAGAAGGATGAGTTTTTAGTCACCTGGCACCCTCGCCCCACCCAAAGCCAAAGAAACCATTATATCATTTCCACCGTCAATAAAAAAACTAATTAGCGAATTCTTACACACTAAAAAACAAAAAAACTCTGCTTTATACTTTTTTCAATCTAACATCTTTAACACATAGGCACAGGCTATTAATTTATTTCGCAAATAAATGCGCCATATTGAATTTGCATAATAAGTTTATAGTGAGCAAATTTTTGTGACCGTGAACCGATTGCCGTTCAACCAATTCGCAAAAAGGTTACGTTAATAGATATGTTTAACGCATCTATACTAATATTATAAAGAGGTAAAAATTGTAAGTTCGTGTGTAGGGGGTAATCTTTGGAACTGCTGGTCGGGTTTCTAAAATTCTTTCACTGATAGAGAGCTACAATGTTCCTGATGCTATAAGCTATAAAACATCACCATACAACTAGTAGGAACCGAGCAGTGGGTAGCAAACTGCGCGGCATCACCTATACATAATAAAATACATAGCTAAAAGTTTTTTTTTTTTTAAAAGCCTTGACTCTCTGATTCGGTTGAACATGATAAATACTCGTTTGATTTTATTGCCTCATTACAAATTGTAATCACGTATTTTTTAGGTTGCATGGTTTCGGATAGGCTCCGAAAAAATACTAGACGATCCGAAAAATTACTGGAACAATTTTAGTTTATTTTCGCCGTCAGGCTTAGGATGCTGTTCATCTCGAATCATAGGATTGGGACCAACGAAAAGTTGTTGAAAAGGGATAAATTAACTTGTACGTTTTCTACGAGGAAAAAAACTGTAATCATTCCTAAAATGTACTTATATTATCAAAAGTCATGGTTATACACGTGGTTATACATATCACAAAAACGTAGTTGGATATACCAAAACGGTTACGTTAAATCAAACGTAATACTGTAACATAATAACTAGATCGTAAAGTCGACGATTCCATATATTTAATCTTATTTAAAACCTTATCATGATCTAGCTTTCCGCCCGCGGCTTCGCCCGCATATATTTTTTCTTGTACCTAACTACATATTCCTTTGCAATCCACGCAAGTTGAGTTGACGCTTTTCAACATCACCGAATATTTTTGTTTCCCTCGGGAATATATCTTTTTCGGGATGAAAAGTTCCCTATTATTTCATCCGGACTTCTAACTTTACGTTTACAAAATTTCAAAGCAATCGGCTCAGTAGTTACGGGGGTGTAAGCGGAACAAACAAACAAATCCAGTTTCCGATTTATAATATTAGTAAGGACAAACTGGAATACGTCTATTCACTAGAGTTGAATTAATTATGAAATAGGTAGCATCCTATAAAAGAACCATTGGTATTTTTTTTTAACTTTCCCGGACACTAGGATTTTCTCCTGTGTCGTGGATGCGATTACAAACACCAAATTCACATACACCAGCCACCCAGACCCGAACCAACAATTTGTGGATCTCACAAAGTGTTGAGATATGAATATGGACCTCTAGCATGGCTTGAAACTAGTCGAGTATCTCGTCAAAACAAATTACGTGAGTAAGCCGAAAACATAATAATTAATTTAGTACGTATGTCTTTTTTTTAAAAAAAAACGTTGCCCCACGTTAGGATTTTCTCCTGTGTCATGGGTGCGGTTACAAACATACAATTTCACATACACATGACACCCAGACCCGGAACAACAATTTGTGGATCACACAAAGAGGTGTTCCGTGCGGGAATCGAACCCGCAACACGTTGCACGGCAGTCATTGCCCAGCCACCGCACCAACCGTGCAGTCAATGTAAATGTCTCACGAAAGTTTAAAAAAAAAACGACTGGCATACATCATACATTACGGTGATAAAAACTTGGACTTATAACTTCTAAAAATAAGTTTCAAATCGCAAATTCTTGTGCAACCGAGGTGATTAATGCTCAAACCTTCTCCGTGTGAGAAGAGGCTTCGCTTAGACTGGAGATAGTGAGACTAGAAACTTCATTATCCTTAAGACAATAGAAATAGAAAGTAAGTATTAGGAGAGACCATAGGGCCGCTCATTATATGAACTGTTCAAATAAGTAGGTGCTGATTTGCACCTAACACATACTTATAACCACCGCGACGCCGTTCGTGAATTCGCACAAAAATAATCCGACTTCAAATAGTAAAACAAACCGATATAGACCTTATCGTCATAAACAGGCCGTGATTTATGTATATTACAGAGATAGTTTATGTATATTCAGAAAAATAAAAAAGCAAAGTCTTTCTTTGTAGAAATTAATACATGTTTTCATTTAGTTAAATAGAAAATAATATTAATAACCATTTTATAATCTTGAATTCGATGCCAAGTAAAACAAAAATCGTGTAAAGATTACCTATATCTTTACAATATTTTTGTTTATATGCTATTGTTAGTTTGATGATTAGGAGGTACTGATCAATATATTTTTCTAATATTGTTGTTGTTTGATTGATTTTGACTTTGATGATTCACTTAATACCGACTTCGAGATTAAGGTTAGAAGAATGTTATACCGAACATAGTACCTCCTTTTTTTGAAGTCGGTAAAAAGTCGCGTTGTTTTAAGATATTTCAATTGATTGTTGTTAATACTTTGTGAGGGGAAAATCATCTATTTACTTCTCCCGCCCAGGGTAAGGCGAGAGAGTGTGTCAGACTCTTACTCACTATAACCCCCCGTTCCTTCTCCTGCTTTAGGCCCGCGGTACTTTTTTTCGCTTACACCTCAATTACGCTGAGACCTCAACCCTAGCTGAGCTCTGCAACCTCGAATGAGCCCATCAACCCCGGCTAAGCCCCTCAACGAGATAGCTGCAATGTTCCTGAGTGCTTTAAGCTAAATTAAACTTCATTTGCGTATTTTAGTCGATCTATCGCTTTAAACGCTGCGGTTTTAAAAATCCTGGGATACAGCCACATGCTTTAATACGCGTAATATAAGGTCGTGGTAGCCCCGAGTAAAGTCGTGGTGGCCCCGAGTTTAAGACTAGGTTAAGAACGAAGAAGGACTAGTTTAAGACGCCCGCCCGAAGTACCAATGTGACTTACTATTACTTACTTTCTTTGATAATTTAGACACCACTGACATACGGTGAAGGTAAAGATCGTGAGGAAACCATATGGAATTATTTTTTTTAATAATAAAATTGAAATCGCCAACCCGCATTGAGCAAGCGTGTTGATTTATGCTCAAACCGTTATCCGTGTGAGAAGAGGCCTTTGCTCAGCAGTGGGCACTTATAGGCTGATGATGATGATGAATAAAATAAATAAATAAATAAATAATTTCGATTCCTGATCAGTTGCACCACACTTTGTTGAATACAAACAATAAAAGTACCTTAACTTTAAAGTAGTGACTCCGCAACACAACGTTAAGAATACTTTTACTTTTATGGACAAACAAAGCAAGCAGTACCTAAGTATTATGTATTAAGTAATTGCGTAATTATGAATCTAGTTCAACATGTCAAATGATCTAACTTGCTTACTGAGACGGATGAAAGTGAAACGGCAACTTAGTACCTACTGTTGTCCCTTCGAAAGTGACTTGTGGAGTAGGCAAGACAGTACTTTGTTTGTTTATTAGTTGTTTTTGTTTTATTCTTGTGCCTTTTTTCAAATTATGATTATTATTTTTGATTCCATAATTGTTTTGGTTGGTTATGTGTTATTACAAACATGTTTTAACCCTAATTAAGTAGATACTTATTAATTTTGATTCACTCACATAATTATTATGTAGATTACCAATCCCTCTGTTCTAATTTTAAAAAGTGACGAATAAGATTCGTTTTATAATAGCCAGCCAACTGCAACATTCTAAATTCAAATTTAAAAATTCCTGCCTCAACCAATTGATGACCAATCAACATATGCAGGACGAATTTTAAAAAATCGATCTTTTTTCTAAGATTTGGATGGAGATCAGTTATATAGCTAAGGAATACTAACACCCGGTTTCTGAAAGGCTTGTCAACGCTAAAATTGTTAAATCTCTTGTCAAGTCATCTCATTGGTTGTTGATAATTCAGTCAACCTATCAAATGACTTGACAAGAGATTAAATTGATTTTAACATTGATCGGCCTTTCGGAAAACGGGTATAAGATACTAACTTGTACTAACTACCGACTACCGATCGTCATTATTAAGTCACGTGGCGAATATAACTGAATCACTCCACGATTTTGTTGTAAGTACTACAATACTATTAACTACAATCTGAACAAATACAGTTACATATTAAATCGAAACAGCATACGA